AATTTCCAAAAACTGTGAAGCATAACCATCCATATGCTAACTCAGCGATCATTAGAGAGAAGATGGTGCTATAGCAAGTCTTTGAGGATTGGTGTTCACCATTGGGATGTAGGGCTCAGATAACTATTTAACCAAGAACTTACTGTTCATTAGTAGGGAGTAAGGTCAGATGACATATGCCAGCTATAGAACTCTTGGACTGGCCAAAACATTTGAGCAAGACTGTACTCTTCTGGGGCACAAGGAGGTGCCCATTTTTGCCTAATTGTGGCTGATGAAGGAATGCCCTTGCTCTAATGAGTAGTCTTTGCTCTCTGTTGGTTGAGACTTTGTCAGATCTGCATTGCAAACTGAAGCTCTCCCTGCCCAGTCCTACTTCCTCCTCTTTCTGTCATTCACTGGCTCATCCCGCACCACCCACCCTATAAGCCTCTTGCACTTGTAACTCTGTCTCAGCATCTCATTCCTGGAAGCCTCATTTGATGCAGAACTACTAAACAGAGTGTTTAATCTTTTAGCTCCAGGGTTTACCAGCAGTGACACAAACAAAAGTCAAACTCAAGACTATTGGGCTCAACTTATCACATTGCCTGATGATATCTGAGGAAGCAAGAAACGTCATCAAATGGTTGAGGGTCAGGAATTTATAGATCTCAGCAAAACTGGGTTGGAAGCAATGGGGTGTACTGACATTAAGAGTGGGTGAGAGGTTTAGTCAAAGTAGTCAGTCTAGGCTGGAAACTATGACACAACCTGAAGGAAAGTTAAGGCAAGCCAAACCTGCTTATTTCCTGTACAGCCAAATCATTCCCATCTCCATGACCCCATCTTTTTCTATTCATATGTCTATTGTAACACTTACCAGATATTAATTAAGAAAACACATCTTTCTTTAATATAATCTTATGCATGCTAGAGCAGCAAGCTCCATGCCTTGGGGCCCTCTGGAGCTCACCAGGGCACAAAATGGGGCCAGTGCTTCCTACGTGCCTAAAGAATGTTTACTGAATAAATTTATGAACATGATATATGAAAGTCCCTGATATATCAGTTTCTAATTATGTGTTCTAATCACATCAAATTATTTCTTTAGGTTTCACAGATGTTATTCACAATGAACTGATATTAAGGTCCTTCCAGAGAGAAGAGTCAGCCTTCTCTGTTTTAGCTGGAGATGGAGTCTACTGGCAAACCCACTATGGAACAGTGGAGTCAACATGGAAGAGAGGCTGGCTTGTCCAATGGGAAGTTAGTCAGGATGGCTTTGCCAGCAAGAGAGTCAGCAACAGCCATATCATCTCGGTATTACTCAGATCTGTAACACTGTGACTTTTGCCTCCAAGAACCATCCTCTCTTCACTAAACATCCCACTGACCACTTTTTCTGTCCATCTGAACTTCTCATCAGAAAACGTGCTTCAAGACACAGATGTATAGAACAGACTTTTGGACTCTGTGGGAGAAGGCGAGGGTGGGATGATCTGAGAGAATAGCATTGAAACATGTATATTATGAAGGGTGAAACAGATCACCAGCCCAGGTTGGATGCATGAGACAAATGCTCAGGGCTGGTGCACTGGGAAGGCCCAAAGGGATGGGATGGGGAGGGAGGTGGGAGGGGGGATTGGGATGGGGAACACATGTAAATCCATGGCTGATTCATGTCAATGTATGGCAAAACCACTACAACATTGTAAAGTAATTAGCCTCCAACTAATAAAAATAAATTAAAAAGAAAAGAAAATGTGCTTCAGATATTTGGTCATAGCATGCCTTTTTGAATGTTCAGTCCTAAATCTACACAAATGCATAACATTCTGTTCTGTAAAGCCTTAATTAGCAGTGCATAATTACTGAATACTATTCCATTCTCAACACTAGTACTATTAAATGATTTGAATGTATTTAATATGCTTTTTCTTCCTTTATCTTAAGTCTATTTGTTGTTAACATCATTTTCTTTGGTCTATAGTATAGTTTTAGAAATAAAAATGATAACACATTCATGTGTGCTAACTTGCTTCAGTCACGTCTGATTGCGTGTGATACCATGGACTGTAGCCTGTCAGGCTCCTTTGTCCGTGGGATTCTCCAGGCAAGAATACTGGAGTGGGTTGCCATGCACTTCTCCAGGGCATTCATGTGTAGAAGACTCCACATTTTACAAAGAACTACCACATGTATTAGCTCCTGGGGATAAGGACAGTTGTAGAACAAATCCATGTGCATTAAGAGATTTGAATGAGTTCATTACCAAAGTACTTTGGTCTGTTTAAGGATGGATAATTACAATATACTTTGATCACACTGATTATGAGGCCTTCTTGAACATTTTCAGTATGCTAAGAGATGTGAAAAATGTGTTCCAATGAAACAGATTCCTGAAAATGATTTTTTAATCTATAGCAGTATACTGTATACTCCACCTGTCTAGTCATTCCTGGAGGGTGGAAGTCATAGGGCACTGTTGTCCTGGCAGACTGTGGGCTGAGAGCTCTAGGCAGATGCCATGCAGCATCCTTATCCTGAAACCAGAGGGCTGCTATTAAGTGCATTCAAGGGAGATCCCAGACAAACTATAAGACAAATACTTCATGCTTTGTTGGCCAAGTCAATTGGAATTGCTAGAACAATGATTGCTAAACCAGAATCACATGAAGCAGAGGCCAGGCTGAGAGGAATTTGGAGGTGGGTTGAGAGTCTGGGAGCAATTTCAGTGTGAGAATGCAGACAAGCATAGCAGCGTTTGATCTGGTACTGGGACCCTCTCCTTTGGACTCTCCAGGAACATTGAAAGCTACTGTCCTCAGTCCGGCTTCACGTTAGAAACGCATGAGTTGCTTTGGCAAGTGTATATTTGCCTGGCTCCACCTCCTAAGACTCCAGCTCCTTTGGTTTAGGGTTGGCCTAGGCATGTGCATCTCTTTTCTTAAACTGTAACTTTATTTGGAGCAGAATTTTCCTTAAGCAATGTTTTTAAACACCTTAGGACAACCTATTCCAAAAAGGAACATTTTATTTCAGATGGGGCTTGAGTAAGTGGTTTTTTATTCTCTTATCTTCATATCATTGTGAATATTTGCTTTGTAATTAAGTATATTCTTAGTTATGCCCTTGTAATCAAATTCGGTGATGAAATTGCTGTCAGTACTGAAATATGATAGACCAGAAGTAGGCAGATGTATTTTTGAACGTCCTTCAGAAGACTTGATCAGTTGAGAACCTGTGATCCCAAAGAAATAACATTTAACTTACAGAACTTATTAATTTTGACTGCTGTTTCATAAACTCACAGGTATTTTTGATGACTTCTTGTGAAAGCTTGGTAATGAATAAAGTCAGTCTCCCTGCTGAATTGATACACACAAGGTCAGTGCAATGGCAGTGAAGAATTCTTGCTTTGGTCCATCTACTATTAGTGATATGTGGTATGATGGGTCCTTAGGGTGTGAGCCCTTCAAGGCAAGAAAGTGTTTTGGGCAAGATCTGAGTAGGGAAGAGATGATGCACTCAAGTTGGGTACTGCAAAGAAAGTTTAAGTACATTTACAAACATGTCAGTGGGGAGTGTGGAAGCCCTAAGGAATAATTACCATCAAGGCAGAATTTAGCACTCTTGGACCTAAAGGGGAAAGAGAAGGGGCAGTTCTTGGAAACAGGTCAGGAGAGGGCTGTGACTCTGTTGAAGGAGGCACTTAGCCCTCATCCACCTCTAAGAGATGGAGCCAAGGAAATAAATTATCTGACCACATTCTTTCCTTCTCTCCAATTGACCACTGATGCTTCCCAATCAAAATCAAGCCCAACCATAATCTAGAAGGCAAGAAAACCTATTGACTTGGTTCACATAGTTTTTTTTTTTTTTTTTGTGGGAACAACTTATTTATTCAGAATGTAATACTGTCTACTTCCTTTTGGAAGACGTGGAGAAGATCAAATGGGATCAAGTGCACGGATAATACTAAAGATTCAAATACTTAGGCAGAAATTCCCTCTTAACCCTTCCAGAGGTGTAAAAAAATAAAGTGTCAAAACTTATGAGTGACAGAAATCCAAAAGAAAAAAGTCTGTTCTGAAAAGGAAGACATCCAGCTCGCAGAAATGATGGTTCAGCGGACGGCAAGATGTTCCTGGTCTTCCTCTAGATCCGGGCAGATCGTTAACTTTCCCAAGTTACAACTGAGTTGCTCTTTCCAGGCTTTTCGAAGCATCTTTAAGTTTTCCTACTAAGTCCTGTAATTGTTCCATGCTGCAACTAAAACTAATCTCTGGGTGGGATCGGGAGTCAGTGTCCTCTACATTTAAGGTCACCAAATATGCAGGTCTGTACATCTTATCAAGTTGATTGGTCTAAAACAACATAACACAGAGATTTCAGTCTTTAGCTCTTTTTTTTTAAATTCCCTAAATTGCCCTAGAGAACATTAGTTAAACTTTACCTTTATCTGATATTCCAAACGCCAAGAAACATCAGTTATATGAGGGAGAGATCTGCCTATACTTCCCAGTAGGATTTCTAGGGAATTCCTATTATTCTGATATTCTGTCCAAAACAATTCTATTCTCTCGCTGTCAAATTTACAGTCTTCTAGATAAGTGCTTAGAGTTGATTTGTTAGCTCTTTGCTTTCCAGCCTCCAGTATGTAAGTTGCAGCTGCTGCATGACAATGTTTTAAAACCACTGGGTCGATATGTTTCAAGTCTGGGTGATCTAACACGGCCTCGTCCGCCTGGGCGTCCAGCAGACTCTGGAAAGCCGCCCGGAGGAGAAGCGTGAAGGTGTTGGAGTCGAAGGAGCCGGGATCGGCCAGCATCTGGAAGCCTTTCTGCACATACTCCGAGAGCTCCATTGTGAGCGCGCCGTGACCTTCAACACGCGCACCACGTGACACGCGCCGCGCGCTCAGCTGATGCGGCCGCGCGCGCACGAGGCTGGGGCGGCGGCGGCGGTGGCGCGGGCTGCGGGCCTCCCTGCCCGCGTCCCGGCCCGCGTACCCGGCCGCCCACCAGCTGCCGCCACCGCTTCCGTCTCCTGGTTCACACAGTTTTAACTCATGGGACACAGTAGGGAGAATGGGGAGAAGGAGGAAGCATGAATCTGGAAGGTAAGTAAAAGAAAGCCATACAGGGACCAAAAGCATTTCATCTATGTGATCATCCCCCACAATATCTACATGGTTTGGCATATATAATATTCTAATAAAATATAGAGTTACTATAGTCAATGACCAATGAGGTTACAAGAGAAAGAGAATTAGCATTAATTAGATATGTTCCATGTGTTGAGTGTACTATTTCATTTTGTTGAGTATCCTAACAACTTGGTAAGATGAGTTATCATCACTGCCATTTTATAGGTGAGAAAGAGCAGGTCAGAGAGGCTGAGTGACTTAATGAGGAGCACGTGACCAGTACGTGGTAGAGTAGGAATGAGAGTCTGTAGAGTAGCCCATTCCTGGCTGACTTTATATCCAAATCTCTTTCATTAAAATCATGGAAGAATCAATATTGTGAAAATGGCTATACTACCCAAAGCAATCTATAGATTCAATGCAATCCCTATCAAGCTACCAAGGTATTCTTCACAGAATTAGAACAAATAATTTCACAATTTGTATGGAAATACAAAAAACCTNTGCCAATCTGAAAAATGTTACATACTGGATGATTCCAACTATATGACATTTTAGTAAAGGCAAAACTATGGTCACAGTAAAAAAAAAAAAAAAGTCAATGGTTTCTGGGGGCTGGTTACCAGGGTGGGAGAGAAGAATAGGAAGAACTCAGTATGATACTATAATGGTGGATACTAGTCATTATACATTTGTCTAAACTCATAGAATGTACAACACTGGAGTGAATCCTAATGTAAACTAAGGACTTTAAAAAATATATTTTATTTATTTATTTCACTGTGCCAGGTCTTAGTTGTGCATGTGAGATCTAGTTCCCTGACCAGGGATGGAATCTGGGCCCCCTGCATCGGGAGCCTGAAGTCTTAGCCACTGTTCCACCAGGGAGGTCCTGAAGCTAAGGACTCTGGGTGATGACAAGGTGTCAACATAGGATCATTAACTGCAACAAATGTACCACTTTGGTGGGGCATGTTGATAAGAAAAATCTCTGTACCTTCCTCTCCATGTTGCTGTGAATTCAAAATTGCTCTAAAAAATGAAGTCTACTTTAAAAGAAGAAAAACTGAAAATGGAAATAACATAAAATCAGGAATTCCCTGGTGGTGCAATGGCTAGGACTCAGGGCTTTCACTACTGGGGCCCAGATTCAATCCCTGGTCAGGGAATTAAGATTCCAAAAGCAATGGTGGTGGGGTTGGGGGAGAAATCTACCTTTTTACAATTGAATAAAATAAAAAGTTTATAAAGAAACAAGCCAAAAGAATCACACAAAGTTTCAAGAGTCAGACCATTTTCGTGGACTATGTGTCCTTATTTTTTAGAAAATACAAATTTTTTCTTAAGTAGTATGAGTTGAGTTGTAAGGAGTTGTTTAACCATATTTTACTTGCTGGAAACCAAACCAAAAGAAGCCAATGATGGGAGGGGGGATCAGGATAGGGAACACATGTAAATCCATGGCTGATTCATGTCAATGTATGGCAAAAACCACTACAACATTGTAAAGTAATTAGCCTCCAACTAATAAAAATAAATGAAAAAAAAAATCATGCCACCCTTTACTCCAAACAGAAATACCAATCATTGCTACAGAAAATTTTGTGCAGTCTCCCTGTGACGAGGTAGATGTAAAGATTGATTCAATTCCCTTTGTCCTAACAAAGCCTGTCCAGAGTTCCAGAAGTTTAGAGCTTGTTCCTGCCCTCACAGAGTTAGCAATCTCATATATACTGTAACCACCTGTGGTAAGGTCAGTGTACAAGTGGCCCAAGTTTTCAAATAAAAGCCATCATTTGTCTATCATTCACACATTCATTCATCTTTTTTTCCCATTGTTTTTATTCACTCAATAGTTCTTGTCAATGTTCTAGGCCTGGACAATAATACTGTAAATAATTTAGAGTCTATGATCATATAAAACTTACATCATAATGGGAGCAGACAAACCAATGAACAGCTAAATAAACAAGAAAAGTGAGTAGTGATATGTATTCATATATGCAGAGAATTAAAGTAGGTGATGTGATAGTGATGGGTGGCTAGGTCAGTTTGCATGATTAGGAAAGGTTATTTTGAGGGATATGCATCTAAGCTTATATCTGCATGGTCAAGAGGACTTCCCACAGAGGAAAGAGTTAGTGGAGAGAGTCTAAGGCAGGAATCACAGGAAATGAAAGACAACTGAGAATGCTAAAGTGTGGTGAGTTAGGAGAAGAGTTGTGAGAGATGACATTGGAGAAGTGTACAAAGGCTAGAGGACACAGGATTTAGTGACCTATCTGAGGAAATTGGGAAGCCATTGGAAGGCTTAGAGCAAGGCAGTCAGGAGATCTCATGCACAATTAAAAGCATTACTCTAACTAGAATCCGGAGAAGAGATTATAGAGGGAAGGAGTGGAATTGGTAAAATGACTATCACAGGGATACAGAGAAATGTTGGAGGGTTGGACCAAGGTGATGAGTGAAAGTAGATGGTCAATGGTACTTGCTGATATATCAGATGTGAGAGATGTAGGAAACAGTTACTAAGAATAATCTCACTGAGATGAGAAAGAGTAGGGAGAGAGTAGATGGGGACAAGTGAATGGGGATGAAAATCTGGAATTTTGTTTTAACACTGTTAATTTTTAAACATTTGTTAGAAGCCTAAGTGGAGGTGATATTTGTAGTTAGATGCAGATATCTGGAAGATCAGGGCTGAAGACACTCTTGGACTTACTGGTATAGAGACCATAGGAAAGCCCTGGGACTCGGTGAAATTACTCAGAAAGTGGTTGCAAAGGAGAGGCAGAGTCTTGGCCAGAACCCCAAGGCATTCCAACATTTTGAAGGCAAGTAGAAGGTGAGCCAGCAGAGAATGAAAAGGAGTCACTTTTATAAAATATGTGAAGATCCTTGCATTGCAGAACAGAGAGACTTTTAAAAATGCGAAAAGAATTCATCATTGAAATCAAATTCACAAGCTTGGAGACATCTTTGTCCACCCAGCACTACATTGTGAGCTATATGGGTGAATATAAATCCTTTTGCATGTTCATAGCAGTATCTTATATTTGTAAGTGCATGGTTGTTTACAGGACATTTTAGAATATATCAGTTTCTTTGAGCAGTCCCCAGTGTGTGGGAGTTAGGTGCCATTATCCTTTATTTCACATTTTAGAGAGGTTACATGACTCTCCTAACTTTTCACTAAAGACGAGAAGGGCAGCAAAAATTTGTGTAAAGCATCTGATACCAGTATCCTCCCACCCCACTGTCCTTTCCATCAATGCAAATTCTTGGATTTTCCCCTGAACCAGCTTCACGGTGGAGAGTATAGATGAACTGCACTACATATGGCATTGCTTTCTAGCTCTCTCTATCCCAAAGAAAGTGGACACCTGGGACCTGACTTTCTCAGGCTCAATTAGGTATGCTGCTTCCCATATAGGCTAGCATTTTACTGCATCACAGAAGACAACAATGAATAATAACTTTGAGACACAGAGGCTTTATTTCAAAGTCTGGCCCTGTCATTCATTAGATGTATGTTATCAAGTAAGTCACTTAACTTCTCTGAACCTCTCTTTTCTCCTAGGCAAAATGAAGACAGTGTCAATTTGTAATGGATATTTATTGATATTGCTGCCTTGTATCCATTTTTTCTCCCTATTCCACTGTTATAGCAACAATTTCACAATTTCACAATTTCGTTTTTTTTATAGTACCATCTCACCCCACCCTTGGTTCTTGGGCTTTGAATGAATTTGTCTCAATCATTTATTTCCAGAGTGCAAACAGGTGACATAGGTTAAGGTTAAGCCAATCAAAGTAAGCTAGAGCATACCAGAAGGCTTTGAGATTGGCTTAGGGTGGGTCACATGATCTAAGCCTGACCAATCAGAACCAAGAAAATTTTATTCTGGTTTTTCTTTTCTAAGCTGATGGAAGATATAGATTCTGTCTCTTCTGCTGGATTGGGTGCTATACTTGTGAGTTTGACCTAAGAGCTAATAGTCACCACAAGCACTTTGAGAAAACAAGTTTATCTAGAAGATGCAGATGGAGAAAATGATTCCAGGGATATCATTTGAGGCATTGGTTGAATCATGCCTGACTTTCCTGGATTCTACCCTGAATTTGCAGACAAGTTAATACATCTTCTTTCTTGTTTGAGCCAGTCTGAACTAGGTTTTCTGTCACTTGAATGCATGAGTTTAAATTGATAAAATTATCTTTAAAGGGTTGTAGCAAGGATAAAATGAATAATTATGAAAAGCACTAATCCAGAAGAGAGTCTCAATAAATAGAAGCAATCATTGTGATTTCATCTTTAGGTTTTTTTCTAAATGCAGCACTCTTTCCATAATAATGATTGGAGTAGTCTAAAAAATTGAAAGCTATACAGGGATCTGAGCAGAACCAGGTGCTGCAGGTGCGTGTGTATTTTCAAAAGATCAAAACATCAAGCCAGAATGCCAGTTACTCTGATGCAGGTTGAATATTCATCATCAGAAGTACATATGTAGAAAACATACATGTGTGCAAATGTATAAGACTCCATAAACATTCCTCCTCATTTCCGGTGCCTATGTAAGTCTAGGGTAAAAAAAGAAAAGAACAAAACTTGGCATATCCTATCAGATGAAGTCAATGGAGTGTTCAAAGTAGATTACATTAATTTCAAGAGTAATTTTTAATATTTGTAATGTAATATATTACTTGATAAGATTGTGAAACTTTCTGACAGCTTATTAGCCAGTGCCATTAAAACCAAATGTCAACTTTATCAACTGCTGTCAGTGAAATTAGCAATGAAACTCTCTCTAAGGGATGGAGGCTCAGATTATGCTGGATAATGGTGTGAGTAATCACTTGGATTATATAGCACCTTTTTTTCTGAAGGGTTTAAAGTTTTTACATATATTTATTCTCACAATATCCCTGAATGGAAAAAAGGGACAAACTTTATTGCCCCTATATGTTTGGTG